CGTGTAAGGCAGTCAAGGCTTCACGACAAATGATCCATACATCAAAGCTTCAGGAGGAGGGCTGGCTCTCACAACTCAGCTGAGGAACTCTAGTGTTATAGTAATATTATAGCAATACTATAATAGTCTATAGTATCATGGAAGCATTATAGTAGTATTACAGTCCACCTCGAAACCCTGAAACCCTGGGCAAGCTCTGCCGGGAGGGGGGGAATGTGCCTTTAAGATGAGGCCTGGAGAACTGCCCCCGTGAGAATTGAGAGTTTCCGAAAATAGGGGACCCTAATATAATACTCTAAATAGTAGGATCCTTATTATATGGACCCCAAAATAAGGTACCCCTAATTTCGGAAACTCCCAATTGAACTAGAACAGATTAAAGCAGCCAACCGCAGGCCCCGTCCTGACAAGGGCCGCGCTCCATGGCGGAATGGCCATGCGTATCCTCAGTCACATCTAGACTCTCCCTTCAAGTCCTTCGTTGCGAATTTTGAAGAATCGTCATGAACCGTTACATCCTCCTAGCCCTGCTGGGAAGACAGATATGTACGATTATGCATGTACTTGGACCTCTGCCTTGAAACCCTCTCGGGCAAATGACCATCACATCAGGTTCAGCGTCATTGCTCAACCTCTCAATCAAGCACAGAATGTTTGGTGAGCTTTCGGCACACCACAGGACGCTCTTCATGCTGAAGACATCTGAAGACATCACATGCGAGCTCAGAACAAAAACACCTAACTTGAAGCCATTTAACGACCTATAGGTCCTTATCGCAAGGACCCCAAAGTCAAGCATCCACTTACATGAAGCAGCTGCTACATCTCAAGAGAACCGGAACACAACAAGGAATCACACACTGGCGGGCAGGATAATGCTTCTTCCATACTGATCATGTTGAATCCTGAATTGCACTGGTCCTCAAACTGCAGCTTATCCCCAAATGACCTAGACTCCTCGATCATAGCTGCTTAGCTATAGGCCTTCCGCGGGAAGAGCCCTGCGGGGCTGAGTGACTTCGGGCACAAAAAAGAGACTGGCCAAGTACCCGGACGGAGGTCATCATCTGGGAAGGCGAAACGGGCAAAGGTACCTTATTTGGGGGTCCTTATCATAAGGATCCTACTATTAGGGCAATTACTATTTTGAGGTTCCCTGCCGACACAGAAAAGCAAGAAGGAGGTCGAGGCCCAGGGGGCACCAGCACGTCTCTGATTCAGAAAACCTGGAGACCCCCGCACATGTAGGCTTTCCAACGGCAGAGGGAGTGGATACCATAGGGGCCTTCATAATTACCTGTGCTGTAGAATGTTTTGGTGGGTTTCGTACTATAATTATTGTATAACGGGCCCCAAAGCCCCAACACCCTGTTCCAATCATTTCAGCCCACAAACTCTAGAACCCTTAAAGGCTTGAGCCGAGTGATTGACCGGTGTTGATCATGTGGAGTCCAGCTTGTCCAGGTTGGAAGGCGTGCAAATAAGGGTACCTTAGGGTACCTTTAAGGGGTTACTATAAGGGTACTACACGCGTTCCTTTAAAGGGCCCTATAAGGGCTTAGAGTTTCCGAAAGATTCGGGGTACCTTGTTTCAGCACTCACAACCTGCCTTGTTTGGGGTTCCTTATAATAAGGATCCTACTACTTAGAGTACTTTCTTAGGGTCCCCTACTTTCGGAAACTCCCATATGCAGATATGAGTTGGAAAGCATGATCGCCTGCCGTGGCTTACGAGTGCACATCTGGGTGGTCACGCAAGTTAAACGTTGAGCTACCCAGCTCAGAATAGATCCCCACCTGATCACTTGCTTTGCTTGTACCTCGAAGCCCTGGCATGCCGTCAAGAAGTCCTTTTCTGCACACTGGATGAAGATGAATCGGCGCATCACAAAACTCCCTACCGAGGGGTCTGGGAAGGACCTGTCGCCAGAACCCTCGGAACCGCTAGCTTGCTGCCACGTGCAGCCAGTGGCCAGATTGAGCAACAACGTGGGCGGTCGCAACAGCAAGCAGGGAGGCGACAACAATCAACAGCAACAACAACAACAACAACAAGAGGAACAAAAATCAGAACCAAGAGGAAGCATAAGACCAAGAACTAGAACCAGAGCAGTAAGAAGGCACAACCCGTTCATGCCAGTGCGGGCAACAGTTCAACGTTAGCAGCAAGAAGGTGTTGGCGACAAAACCTCAGAGCATCTGATCTGAGCAAGGCTTCAGTAGGAATCACAACAATAGTCGGTAAACGGCTACATGAGCCGGAAGATAAGTAGATCGATAGACAGGCAGATAGACCGATGATACAGATGATGGAGATAGATAGATACACCGATGGTACAGGTGGAGGGAGATAATGGACAAATACAGCAAGAATATAGATACCCAGCTAGCCTGGTAGATGGCAGGAAAGACGGATACATAGATCGATAGACCGCTCATAGTTTGAGCCCTTGATGCTAGTTGCAGGTCGTAGTCGCAGCCAGGTCCCTCCACGAAACACCTCAAAGTCTACGACACAAACACTTTGAAGGCGATCTGGCGAAGAGCAGGGGCTGAGGACTCCTGAGATGGTTCCCCAATGTATGTACAAACCCTCTAAACATAAATATATACATATAAATAAGTAAATATAACTACAAATATAGATAGATAGATAGATAGGTAGATAGATAGATATAGATGAGTATAGATGATTACAGATATAGATGATAACTAAGCCCTAAACCCTTCTACAACAACCCCAAACCCCAGTGCGATGTGACCTGTGAGGTACCAAACCTATCAGGTAGCGGTGAAGCTTCCAGAAACTCCAAAGCAAGCGCTGGAGTACTGGTATGGCTTAGGAGTATATTATGGTACAAGTGTATCAGGAAACACAATATTCAGAGCTTATACTACATGAGCATAGTCGCAGTTGGAAATCTTGTGCGCCACAGGCCCTCAACCAAAATATGACTGTCTCGCCCGAGTCACTGAACAGATGTGAGCACTATTGTCTCGACGTTTAAAGCTTCTTGAGCTCGAAGCACAGCTTGCAATGACTGCATAAGCATAACGCCAACCATCCGTACAAAAAACCTTTCGGAACTGCTGGAGCTTAAGCTTAAGAACTAACAGGGTGTGCATGTCAAGGTGAAGATTATTACTTGCGGCTTTGAGCACAGCATTTGTGTCCAAACTGCCCTCACCTTCTGGCGCCGCCAGAACCTGGGCCAGGTTCCCCTCGCTGGGATGGGATTCCCCTTGTGGATCTCAAAAAGCAAGGGCAGTAGGGATTTCGGGCTTTCAAAGGCAACTGGGTGGACTTGTGGGTGCTCCGGACTTTTCGAGATGCTCATCTTGAAGCAACTCCCGAAGCCCTACCGGGGACCAGAAAAAGTCAGGGCCCCTACAGATAGACCTCGAAGAAGTAGTTTGAGGATATCCGTAGGGACCGTACCCTGATGTTAAGAAGCCCCAGTAGCAGACCTCAGGGGATAGACCAAGATCCAGACTCATCTCTGCCAGGGCCACGTCTCTCCACTCTTTTGCCTGGCAAGGCCAGCATTGGGGATCCTTATTATGGGCATAGCATAGTATACAAAACAATATACCCCCAAACCAATTCTAACTATTAAGACCCCTATATGTACAGTACACCCCGAAACCCTACTAAAACTAGTTATTAAGGCCCCTATATATACAGTATACCCCGAGACCCTATTACAAAACTGTATACACACACACACATGTGCATTTGGGGCGTGTTGGGACTGTTTCACTCCCGGGGCCGAGGGCTGATATGTTTAGGAGGCGTGGAGGCTCTCACAACTCGGACCTTGCCAGCTAATTCATGTCTTGCTGTTACTTCAAGACGCTTCCATGCATGATACACATCTATATATGTGTGTATGTATATATACATATATATATATGCATATATGTATGTATGCATACATCTACATATGTATATACATATATATATATATATATATGTGTGTTTATGCATATACGTACTTATATATAGCAATGCCCGGAGTGATTAAGCGGCATCTAAAGGCCTGTCTCTCTCAGTCGAAGCTACCAGATCAATTTTTGTAGATGTGGGGCAATGAGGGGCCGGCAAGTCTAGACCAAAGTTCATGCTTGGGCATCATACGTTGGTTCAGCGTCTTGTAATTTCGGGAGGCCTTGCTTCAGAATGAAGGATCTCGGGTGGCATTATCTTATGGGTGGTTGTCAAAATTAGGGTCCCTTTTTGGGTCCTTATTATAATGCGGCACCTAATTTTAGGGTACCCAAAGAGGGACCATAATTTTGACAACCGCCCATATGTAGTCGTGCTTGACCTGCGAAGACGCGCAAGGCAATTATGCTCTGATGCAAGCAAACCATTCGCAGGTCATTTGTGTTATGAGCCTTGTCACTTTCCGAGTCTCCTCAGCACGGCTCGTTGAGATGTTGTTCGCTCTTGGCAAAACGTGCTTCATTGTCTATCCTATCCTTGCGGGGTGATGCCCGTTCGATGTGCCCTCGCTTGCCGGAATTCACTGGAATCTGGCTCTTATGGCATGTCGGAGTACCGACATGTGTTGAAGATGGCACTTGTGTGTTCAGTTCCATTTCGCTAGTCATGAACTTTTAGGGTTCACGGTGGGTTGTAGGAAAAATCCGACAGAGTCAACAGGGGCGAGCAGGAAGCGAAGCGAAGTCCCCAGCACACGCTCTATCACACACCAGCCCCGACATTCCTCTTTCAACTTGAACTTGAACTTCTTGTCAACGTCAACCTGCTCCGTACCCGAAGGTTGGTAGTTTAGACGCGCTCAAGAAAGAGTACTGTAAAAGAAGCCCACAAGGTAGCCGAACCATGGTCCGCAGTGTGTAGAACAGATTGGATCTTCATGGTCAGATCAAAGGAAGGGAAAAAGTCCCAAGACCGCAGTTCCCTCAACAGCGGCCTGAGGTGCCCGGCATAAATAGCGCATGGGGTGGGCAGTCCCATACACCCTGGCTCAAACTCAGTGGCCTGGCCCAGCCTTGGGGCTGGCGCCAGACGGCCGCGCCCGTGGTCTCCGTCTCTTCGGTGTGCTCGGCTGAGGTTGCGAAGGCGAGGCAATGGGGGCTAAGCGTGTAGCCCTCCCCGTCGGGGTCATAGCGCGTTCAGCGACTTCCCGGCGCTGGTGGTATTCAATCACGAAGTCCGTAGGCGCAGAAGAGGCCAGCGAAGGTCGTCGGTCGGGAACAACTCGCTCCTCTGGCAGGAAGTGCACGCCTTGAGCCGCAAGGGCCTCAGGAGTGCTCTGCGCGTCACGAGCCTGCAAGTTGCCAGCCGAGAGCGGCGACTGCAGTTCGGTCTCAAGCTTCGGGTGAGGGTCCTCGGTGGTGTCAGGCATCTCCTCCATGGCAGCCCCCTCAACTGCCTCTTCAGAGCGGCCGTCTCCCCCGGCCGTGGGAGGAACAGGACTGGCAGCGGCCTGTGCACGGTCTCTGCGCCTCTGCCGCTTGTCGCGGCGCTTCTTGGCTCGAGCCTCCCGAAGTTGCTCAGCCAGGGCCTCGCAGTCGCCAGAAAGCCCAGCAGCTGCGGTGCCAGTGTGCTCCTCGACGGTCCTTGCGGTGTGGCCTTGGCAGTCTGCTGCAGGATTGCAGTTGTGACTGCCGCGGCCACTGCCGCAACGGTCCGGCGCGGAGCTCCCGACTGGCATGCCGCCTTCACCGCCGCGGAGATCCACGCGGCATGAGGGGTCGACATTGCGCTCCTATGACAGAGGTACACCTAGGGTGCCAAGGCGGAGAGGCCTACCTCAACCTGCTGTCGCTCGAGCCCTTATTCCTCTTTCAAAGCTTGGGGAGAGGACTCAAGAAGCCGAGACACAGGGGAATCAGAGCCTCAGGAACAAAACGACCAGTAAGCGGAGCCTCAAACATCCCCAACTGCTGACACCGCAAATCCCAAACAACTCCCCAGCCCTACACTTCACACTCCAACTTTAACATTCGACCCTGAGGCAAGCCTGTGGGGCATTGTAGGGCTATAAGCCTGCCTCTAGACGCCCAGTCAAAAACTCCTAAAGTCTAAAAGCCGAATCGTAAAGCCCCATAGACATCAGCCCGCGGAAGCCTCCAAACCGGAACAGTGTACCCCAGACCGTACCTGCCCTAACTCCTGCACCTTAAGTCAAGACAGATGCCTTTCATTGCCTTTCTCAAGAACTCTCATAGAAGCCCGGAGAGTATTTCTTATAGAAACCCCATATTACCCATATTCATAGAAACCCTAAGCCCTAAACCCTAAGCCCTCTCCCTGTGCCTCTTTGTCGTCCGCATCGTAGCCGAGCAATCGCTCGGCATCCTCGAGGAGCGACTTGAACTCTCTCATCTTCCTGGCTTTAGGTTTCGGCGCTCACACTCGTGTTTAGGGTTTAGGGTTTAGGGTTGATAATTTAGGTTTACCTCATCCCCCCAAAGTAGGTAAAATAATGGCCCAATACCCATAAAAGGCTATTATTCTACATACTTTTGGGGTGCAGGTACGCTCTCGCAGCTCGGACTCGCCAGACAAGGTCTCTAGGTTTAGGGTTTACAGCTTAGTGGGTTTTAAACTCTAAAGGGTTTTTTGGTTTCGACACTCACATTCGCACAAGGCAGGCAAGGCTCCACGTTTTGGGTTTTGGTTTAGGGTTTCGGCGCTCAGAATCGGACGGTTTTTTTTGAACGGTCCGTCCGAGTCTAGGGTTTCGACTCGCACACTCGCAAACGCAGGCACGGCTTCTGGGTCCAGGGTTTAGGGAATCTATAGGGGTAGTTTAAGTTGCGGGTACCATACCTAAGGTTTCCAGTCCGTACTGGTCCTACAATAACCAAATGTCTGCAACAGGGGTTCTACAGCGAGCAGTTTCGGCGAGGGTGCCGCGTGCGCCGAACCTCGTCTTGAGACCCTGTCATCCGAGGCGCTCTTTCACCCCAGACCCGGTAAATCCTAAATTTTATAAGTCTTATAACCCCAAACTTCAGCCCTGGTCACCCTAAACCCTATAAGCCCAAAATCCCCTAAAGGCCCTGGTTTCCTGAAACCCCATAAACTGCATAAACTCTATAAGCGTTGTAGCCATAGCCCCAAGAAACTAAAGGCCCCCTGGTTTCCTGAAGCAGAAGGCACGGCCCCGCAAGAGGTCGCACTCGAAGTCGAGCTCGACCTGCAATCGCTTACGACTTTCAGGCGTTAGGGTTCTGAATAACGATAAAGTATTCAGATGTGTGTAGTAATCACAGCAATAGTTGTAATACGAACGACAATACTGCAAAATGTAACAACAACAATTTTGATCATTTGGGTATCAAGCCGAGCTTCAGGAGGACATGCCGAATGACCCCGGAAACTAGTGAAGCGAACTGCTGTAGGTCACCAAATTCTCCAGGCAAAGCAAGCATAGAAACGCATACGCTAAGGCCCTAGAGGAAAGAGCTTGTAATATCGCTGCCTGAATAATAAGACCAGGGTTTTGGGGGGGGCACCTTAGTATGATAAAACCAAGGAGCCCTTAGAAAAAACGCTGCAGGCTTCCATAGAAACCGGCTCTGTGGGGCTTTTTGCACACTGGGGATCCAGATCAGGGACGGACTTCAGGATATCTTACTGGATTCACTAATATGCCACAGAAATCAACGGTAAAACAATCCGACTTCTGCTAAACCATAAGAACCCAAAAAGTTTAAAGGTTGGGTATTCGGGACCTATTATTCTTAAGCAACAGAAGCCTTGCCTTCAAAACGTGCAATTAAGCAAGTGGTATCTCCGGGGGGCACAAGGGAATTTCATGGAGATTCTATGATGGGCCAAGCTTATGTAAAACTACACTGCCTCCTCAGCTACTTGCTGACTTACTGAGTCAACCTCATATAGGCAAACAAGCACCTCTGCCTAACATGCCACCGGAATAACATGAGGTCACGATTCGGCCCCGCGCGCCACCATTTCGGAGAAAGAGGCCCGAAACTCCGATAATGCGAAACCACCACCCTGTTTTATTGCTGTCCAGCTGACATCCGCAGGACTTCAGACTGGTGATATAAGCGCCTTGATGATTCGAGCAGGGTTCGGGGTGTATGATGGTAGGGAACCCTTAAGAAATAGGAATGGTGGTTCTATCAAGGCCCCCAGACTTCATGAAACCGATTGGAAGCCAAAAGGGCTTGCTTACGAGAACGTTGGAGATTCGTCAACAGTGATCTGATCCTAGGTGCAAGATGCCCATTATGCATTGTGCTGCATCTGCAGTCTACAGCTCCTCTTGGCCTCGTTTGAGAAAGAAACGTGGTTTGACACAGGCAGTCTGAAGGCTTGTGCCGATTCGCACTTGCCCCCTAGACCGCGGAACGCGGCGGGGTCGATCTCAATCGTCTACGATAAACTGCGTAAACCTCGGCCGACGGGAGCGTCACGGGCAAGCTGAGGTAAAGAAGCTGAGTCGGATACTCCAAGAACACAACACTGCGGGAACTAGAAGTAGCAATATCAGCAACACCGCCAGCAGCATCGGCAGCTGTAGCAGTAGAAGTGGTAGCACTGGCGCTGACAGTAGGTGCGGTAGTCGTCGTGGTTGTGGTTGTGGTTGTGGTTGTGGTTGTGGTTGTGGTTGTGGTTGTGGTGGTTGCAGTCGTGGCTGGCGTAGCTGTTGTTGTTCTCAATCATCCCTTCAACTACTGCGCCACCCCGCCACTTCTGACACAAGCTGGGTTCTTGCATAAACATGACTTGCAGCAAACGACAAGACTGCAGTGCCAGGGCAAAAACATCAATAACAACGGGTGAAGGGTAAGTGTGGCAAGATAACCCACTTGGTGCAACAGTTGGAGTCTAGATAATGAAGGAGCGCTGATAATAAGAATGGGATTTGCGGGATGGGATCGCAAAATCATAACGAATGAGCTGCATACTGTCCGTGACACTTCACTTATGGAATTGGGTTTAAGGGCTTCTAATCTGCGACAACCCCGTTCTCAAAAAGGAAATGACCTCGCCATCACGAACTCATTGCAGAACTTGCAAAGGTTGCGTGAGTTTGGTCTGCTATTTGGAATTTGGAATTCTCCAGCCCGCATCTGCAAACTTTCAAGTCAAGGACGGTCCCAAACGCAAAATGTCCACAGTGTGACTTGGCCGATGGCTGCGAGTAGGTCTCGTCAGGATTTTCCTCGAAAGTCAAGCTGATGGTGGAAGGAGTGGGACTGTTTTCTGTTCCCACCAAGGCTCATCTGAGCTGGGCAATCAATAACGTAGCACGGTGTTGGCCCGTGGGGTGCTGGACTTGGATTTCTGCACAAAGCCACTACCCGGTTCGTGCTCCCAAACAAGCCCAAGAAATTCTCCAGCGAACTTAACTTATCAGTGCTTCAGCGAAGACACGAAGCAGCAAAACACAGAAGACTGGTCGCGGCCCACTCAACCATTCATCTCGGCATGTCCCTACTCTGGGCTCCCATGAACAACCGGGCTGCCAGATTGTCCAAGACGTACTCCACCCCATTCTCCAGAGTAAAGACGATATCACTCCTTAGATGCATTTTGCGTGCTACCTGCCAAGCTGACTGCCGGTGCCACACTGCACCTTCTGTGCCAGTGATGCATGTTTGGGTGTCATGGCTTATTAAACTGATCAGCTGGTTTGGAGTCCTGCTACCCAGTGCAGTCGGAAGGGAGGCTTGATAATTCAGAAAGGAAGTGCGGGTGAAAGCCTTTCCTCAGTCCTCAGCATCCAAAAGGCTCTACCAGGAACTACCACGAATCGCCCTGACATCAGAACCAAAGCTTCCAGGCGAAGCTTCACGCCTTGAAGCTGAAGCAACTGTAAACCCCAGGAAATTCGAAGCTCTTCTGCTTGGAGGCTCACGGGCGACTATCAGTGGGGCGACTATCTATATATATATATATATATATATATATATATATATATATATACACATATATATATATATATATACATATTTATAGCCGATATTCGGGGACTTCTAACCCACACTTATAACTACCCATGAAGCTCTTTCGGGCTTTCTTATTTTTTAAGCCCCGTTTCCATCTGCCACGAGGCTTTCAGGCTTTAAAATTCCGAGGCTCTCTTCCAACTTCTGCGACACCGAGCAAACCTTGGAGCTCTGAGCCGGGTGGGGAGGAAATCACAGAGCAGCTCACATGTGTCGCCATGGGAGGAGTCAGGTAAACTAGGGGCCTACATGAATAGAATAGGGTTTGGGGGCCCACTATACTATAATTATGTGAAGGAACCCCCCCCCCCCCCAATAATAGTGTAGGGAATTGGGAAGGCCCAAATATTGTGGGACCCTACCAACGGCCGGTCCAACAGTGTAAATTCTCCTGTGGGACATCGGAACATCATGCATGCCATGTGAACAGAGGCACATCGGAGATTTTGCAGAAGATCCGCTTGACCGGTACCCTGTCGCCTTAGGTGCGGCGAAGAGCAGTTCCGTATCTTGCAAGTGAGTTACGTTTGCTGCAACGTAGTTTGCATGGAAAGCTGCCGGTCTCGCGAACGATGCGCTTGATCTGCCCATCCTCATCGGATATCTCCACGTACTTGCCCTCACCCCTCTTTTCCATGCTGATGTTGCCTTAGCCACTGCCACGCAAGCGACCTCACCAGGAAGGGGAATCAACTGCTGCCCTCCATTTGCGGCCGGCACACCGTTGCCCATGGCGCACCAATCGAAGATTACTGTAAGTCTTGGGCCGTCTACAAGGGCTGCTGTCGCAAACGCATGCTTCCTTGATTCGTACCGTCGTGTCTATGAAAAATTTGGACAGCCCTTCTGCGAAGAACACAGCGAGACGGGACACATGGATCTTGGCTTTGCTGATTGAGCTTCCTCCCAAGCAGAACCCTGTGAGCCCCCGACCGCCCTCTCTTCTTCGCAGCACTTCAAAGCCTTTGTTTGCAGTGGAATGAGGAAGGAGTCAGTTGCTGCATCGGAAATCGTATGCCCTTTGCCATCACAGAAAGGCATGCCACCCGAGACAAAATGGGCTCCGGTCCTCTCCGAAAGCTGCCGCTGCCTCGAACTGTTTTCCGCTTGGGACTGTCCGCTCTTTACGACACACACACACAGATTTTTCACAATTTAGCATGTCCTCGAAAAACCTGAATCAAGAGCTGTTGCTTGTATGGTTTGACTCTATCTGCTGAGCCTTCCTGGTGAACTAAATATGGCATCTGAGACTAAATGTGTGCTTCCTCAGACAGAACCGTGATGTTGGGCTTGGGTTGTTTGGGATGTCGATTCAATGGGCGTGTGCTGATTTGAACGCACGCTTCGCCATGCCACCCGAAGCATACCCCTCCATACACACCTCGCAGGGTTCTAAATCAATAATATAGGGGCCTTCATGATTCGAATACGGTTTTGGGGCCCATTATACTGTAATTATTACTGTAAATATATGGAGCCCCGAAATAGTAGTGGTAAATATTTAAGCCCCTATATTGCTTGCAATACTGTACCTCTCCCGAAATAAGCCAGCTGCTGCCCTCATGCTGGCCACCAGCAATCATCAGCAGCGTCGATCGCCACTAGAGCCCCATTGCCACCACCACTGCTCTAAAAAGTCATAATACAGTATTATCGATATAGCGTAGCACGTTGTAGTATCTTGTCGTACCAAGGCCAAGAGCATTGACAGCGCGGTCGCCAGCATCATCGCCTTCGTCAAATCAGCAATACCGCCATCGGTACCATCTCCATTTCCACCATCACAAACACTTTGTCACATCGAAGAACTGCAACCTCTTCACAAGCTGGCGGGTTTCTGGTGCCTGCACCCTTAAGAACCCAGTAGGCCTGCCTGGTAGTAGTAGTCGTCGGCCATGAGCTCCCTGGCCCTGTCGGACCATCCGCGAGCGTCCAAGTTCTGAGCGGCAGGCTCTTCGTCACCCAAGTGAGTTTTTCAGGAAATTGCTTCTTGCAGCAGGGAAAATTTTTAGGGTTTAGGGTTTAGGGAGGATGCCCCACGTTCTCACAACGCGGAGAAGCAAGATGGGGTCTCACGGTTCGCGCTCGGATACAGGGTTCTTCGCTCTTGCATTCGCTGCCGTAGGCTCCTGCAACTAATTAAAACCCCGGATGGACGCCATCCGCTGGGTGCCCTGATTCCTTTGGAAGCAGGTTACACCTCTACTTGCCCAGGCAGCCGGATACAGGGTTCGGCGCTCACACTCGGACTATCCAGGCGAGGGCTTGAGTGAAACTAGCCAAGGATGGGACCCACCACAGCAAACACCATACGATAGCAACCTGCTTAAGGGATCCATCCCTTCCATCCCAATGTCCAACCAAATGTGGTCATGAATCCCTAGTTGCAGACATGGACATCGAGTGAACAACTACTTCGGATCACCAGTAGCAGGGTGGAGGCACAAGAGCAAGTCTAGTCAATCTCGGACCACCTGGCGAGTATGGGGCGGAATGCCCCAGGCAACTGGCTCAGTGATCCGTGGAGTTCATCAAGAACTCTCTCTGTGTGCGCGCCGTTGGAGGTATTCCCGGACCGCAGTAAGTACAGACAGAAGACGATCCAAGCATACGTGTGGACACTACCTTGTATGCCTCCATATAGAAGGTGAACGAACAGGACGAATAAGTATAAATTCAAACCAGAATTCTAGGTACTACATGCCGCCATCTACTCAAGGTTTGAGGCTGAGGGTTTACGGGGTTGTCCTGAGTGAGGTCTGCGGAGAATCTTTCAGACTGACCTGCACGACAAGATGCAGAGTAAGGACTCAATGAACAATACGATTAAGACTAATATTAACAATGACAATAGTAGTGACAACGATACTAACAATAACAATAACAATACGTAATAACACTAAGAATTAGAATAATGACCTTTGCTACCGTAGGTCACGTGCGGAGCGCTTGTTCGCAGCCAGCCGCCTCAAGTGCCATCCAAACTTCTAGAAGGCATAGACGTCCATTTGGGATTCATCGTTGGGGTCCTCCTGCGTTGGTTCCTGAGCCAAGCTTGCCTCCGGTCGCCTGCAGTTGTGCTCCTTGCGGAGTGCATCATGCTGAGAGGAAGAATGACATGTCTGAGGCATCGTCGCCAGTGTCTGCAAACACTCCTGTTTCATCTGCAGGAACATGTTGTGCAGGGATTTTGAGGCCAGCAGAGTGGCAACAACGTCGCTCTTAGTGAGTTCGCCGCGGAGACTCAGCATGCCATGCACTAGCTCTCGCGCATCAAGCGCCCCACTGCCGTCTGCATCAATGACTCCGAACAAGTTTGTGCGATTCGGCGGCAAATCTAGCTCATCCATAAGCTCCTGCACAGCTCTGTCCTGTATGATGACTTGGAACAACTCCTTTGTAATTTGGACGTGCTCTTGCATGGCGTCGGTGACATCGCCCCTTAAGGCCGCATCATGGCCCATAAAGTCTCGGTAGGCCGTCACGAACTTCTTGAGCAGCTCCCGTGCGCAGCGAGCAACATGTACCGACTCCAGTGCGTGCTGTTCAGGGCTTCTGGCATTGCTACCTTTTGCCGCCTTCAATGTTATGTCAACGTAAATAGCCAAGATCACGTTGAAGATTCCCATGGTCACCAACATGTAGCTCACAACATAGCCGAGAACATACATGCTGCCAAATTCTTCTGCCAGCAGCACTGTCAAGGGAAAACCCTCCCTATCCGAGCAATCACCAGTATAGCATCTGAAAGCTGTGAACATGGCAGCAGGCACGGTACCAAACTGTTCTGGGTGTGAGCGTCCATACAGCGCGGTCGCCAAAGCCGAGATGATGTAGAGCACATAGACCAGCAAAATGAATGCTGTCGCTATAGTTCGCAATCCAGCAAGCCAGCCGTTGATCATCAGGCGGAGCTCCTTCATCACTCTCAACCTCAGGTCCTTTACTATCCTGATCAACCGAAAGAGACGGAGGATTCGCGGAAGCGTGGTAGATCCATTGGACATGAAGAAGAAGCTTGTTACTGAAACCACTGCAAGGAGAATGTCAAACCAGTTCCAAACGCAGTCTGAACCGCACCAGTATGCGCGGCATCGCAGCAAATGCATCCGGAGTAGAATGTCTATGACGAGGAAAATCGTAAATGCTACTTCGATATAAAACCAACCGTGCCAGCTGGCATATGCAGGATCAAGCTGGAATGCTAACATGATGCCATAGCTCACAAGAACACAGGCGAAGAAGGGCTCGAATGAAGTCAAAGGCCACGGCTCGGGAGGGGCAGCCAGGTCATTGATCCGAACGACACTCAAATCGGCAACCAGCTGATTGGCATGACTTGCCAAAAGAATCTCCCGCATGCTCTGGAACTGTCTGAGCAAGACATGCTGTTTGAAGACCGTCTTGTCGGCTTGTCCATCATTCGCTAACAGCAGCTCGAGCAAAGCTTGAGCCGGCACAACATTGTCAGTACGCTGTTCCTCGGCAGTTGCGCATCTAGCCGCGCTGGCACCGGACATTCGCCAAACAGGCTCTAGGCCAAGAAGTTCAGCTTCGTCTCCGGATGGTGTTCGCTGGGCGGAATCCTTGCTCGACTCCTTGAAATGAAGCCCAACATGTGCTGCCACTGCATTAACCAGGTCGTTCATGTCCTCAACACTGTAGCAGGACAGGCCGAGGGCTGAGACCGCAGCATGAAGAGACTTGCCGGAGATCAACTTCCTGGGTTGTGCTTTAAACCCTTTGAAAATTATTTATGAATAGGATCCCTTTATAAGGAAATAAGGGAAATTAAAAGTTATCCCAAAGCACAACCCAGCTTCTGGTCCGGTTGAAGCCCCAACCGAATCCGCAGCCGCTGATCTTGCACCAGGTCGTACTTCATTCTGTTTGAAAATGTCTCTTTCAGCGAAGACTGCGGCATAGCTTCCGGCACATCTTTGAAGAGATGATCCCTCAAAATGGGTTCCTGCAGGCCTGCAGTTGAAGGCGCTCCCTTAAGACTTGCTGCTTCTCCTGGGTAGGCTGCAATTGCCTGCTGTCGAAAATCATTCCAACACTGGTCCAGCAGATTGATGAATGCGTCTCGTTCCATGGCTCCGATATGCACAGCGGAGTTTACGAATACTATACAGGGTTCGAAGTTTTCTGTTTAGCTACCAGTAGCGTCTTGGATTTTGCGACCCTCTCTGAGGCCCATTGCTGTCATTTTCACGTGTGCAGCTTGCAAGCAGGACGGTGGCTCTGAGGGGTCACCTGATCTCGGAATGCGGGCTTGCCGCCGTAGCAAGATCGAGCCGGACGGCAGGCAGCCGGACGCCCGTAGGGCCAAGGAACAACACAATATAGGAAGCACCAGGAAATCGAACTCTGAGAACAAGAGCAATTCAACTGTGCACGAGCCGTGCATGCGAACCCCCCCGTTTCTCTAGACTGAACCTAAAGCTTCAGCATGCACGCTGAAGACACTCCCAACCTACACCCTTTTCTAGTCCCCACAAGACGAAGCGATACTGTCTCTAAGCTTCGAGGCCTAAGGAGCCCCAAAACCTGAATCCTCCACTCTCCTCCGGGCCTCGTCCTCGAAGCTGAAGGCTGATCTGCTTTGCCCCGGACGTGAGGATTTTTGAGACTGCGCCTCTGATGCCACATGAAGCAAAAGCTTGCGGAGGAGACATTTCCATAGGGTGGTAAACGGTTTTAGTCGAGTTGCTTCGTGTCGGAACCCTAAGTGTTCTAGAACCGCTCGGGATTTAGGGAAGCTCCTGTGTTCACTGCTGCTTCTGATGGCCATACCATCTTGCAAAAAGCGGTATCCTCACCGAAACCTCGGCCCGACGCTCCCTTGGCCACCAGGGGGGGGCTCTGAGGCCTTGGCAGAAAACCGACTTCTGGGGTTTCGGCACACTCGGGGTTTAGGGTTTAGGGCTTATAAGGGGGAAGGTCAGGTGAAACCCCACCGGCTTCGGAAGAAAGCTTGCAGAGGGATCGAGGCTTCTCTCTGAGAAGCTTCAACCCTCAAGAAGCCAGACAGAGTCAAGTACAGGCTGCCGCCTTGTTTGAGCTCGAGGTTGCCCGGATCACAGGCTCCTCGTCCCTGCAGAGAAGCAGAGGCAGAGGCAGGAGTTTTAGGTAGTGGCGGCTTTTGGTGGGCGTTTACAACAAGGATTCCGCAGTCCCGCTTAGCTTGTAAACTGTGCCTTGAAGCAGCTTGCGAAACAGAGGGTTTAGGGTACTACAGTATAGTATAATACAGTATAGTATAGTACTTAGTATGCTATAGTGTGGTATACCATGCAGTCAAAAAAGCCTCGTCACACTCGTCGCGGTCTTCACAACGACTCGGAATGACCACTCTTCCGGAAGTCACTCTTCCAGTGCAGAATCCAGCGTTCCGAACGGGAACAGCCCCAAGGTCCAGGTCTCTTTTAGGGTCCGGCGCCCTTGTAAGCCAACAAAACCCCAAAACTGAACCTTAGACCCTAAACTTTAGAAGGGGCCCCCACCCTGTAATGGTGATATAATTCGCATATAATAGGGCCCGAATATAATCCTTATAGTCACTGTTACAGGGTGGGGGCCCCTTCTAGCCTAAACTTCTGGGAGCCCGGCATCTCCAGCATTCCACAAGGCTCGCCGGTCAAGGCGTCCACTACGGTGCCATCCTGCTCGACTTGGAAGGCCACGGCCTGCGACGGGCCCAGCCCTAATATAGGGGCCTTATTCATTCGAATAGGGTTTGGGGGTAAATTACACTATCATTATAACAAGGAAAGGGCAACTACTATAGGGGCCTTGCTAATCAGAAAAGGGTTTACAGGCCCATGATAGTATTATAATGTCTTTGGAAGCTTCCTTCTCATTTGTATGTTCAGTTCACCTTGTAGTAAGGAGGGCATCACGTGACCCGAGAGTCATGTAATTATAATAAGGCCCAAAATAGTATAGTAGGCAATTATTTAAGCCCCATTAAGCCCCTATATTGAGGCGCTCTACATCATGATCAAGGTTATGCTTATAACGATTGCGGCCGCTAAGATCTACTTGGACCAGCTACTGAAAGACGGAACGGAACCACGCTACGAAATGCACGGGTATGGAACCCAAGCACAGTACAAACAAACATAGACGGACGGGGCTCTGCACCCCCCTCCACCATCCGCAGATAGACATGCACACACAGACAGCAACAAAGGAAGGATCTTCAACATTGCCGGCACTGAATGGTGACGGTCTCACGCAACAGCATCAACAACTATTAGAACAGGCAGGTTGGAGAAATTGATTCAGCAACGGCGTCGCTGAAACAATTGGTCAATCGGCACGATTAGAAGAAGTACACATAGCCACTGCAGACGTAGACATACGCTGGCAAAAGCCGTCACGGTTATTGCCGTAGTGACAGTAGTCGTCGTGGTGTTTGTCTTTGTGTCCTGGTCGCCGTCGCATAACTGGGACAGCTGACGGAGCATGAACATTCCCAACCAACAAGGCCGTCACCGTTATCGCGGCAGTGACAGTGGTCGTCGTCGTGTTTGGCTTTGTGGTCCTGGTCGCCGTCGCAATTGGGACAACTGACGGGGCGCGAACATTCCCAGCCGACAAACTAGACACAGACACATAAGAAAAGGAGAGGCATAATTGCGACCTAGTTCACAGTCTCGGTGGCAATAATCCAGGCACTCCGAGCAATCACCGCCGCCACCATAGCCACCACTACCGCTCACTACCAGTGCCACCATCACCGTGTTGTTAGGAGCTGCATCATCACTAGCGTGATATTGCATACCCGTCATCACATGCAGGAAGCTGGAACTAGGCTTGGCAGGGACCACACTACAGCTTAGGGCCTAGGGCCTAGGGTGGTGAGTCTCAATATCTCGCCAGCAAAGAGCTCGCATTTGGCCGCAATCATGTTGCATCTTCTCCACATCTCACACCTGCGTCTGCGGGTCCACGAGGAAGCCCCCAACGAAAAGGTATGGCCTGTCGCACTTGGCTGCCCTCTTTGTCTCTGTCTCCTTCTGCTTCTTCTTCTTCGAGGCTTACTTCGCGTCGGGTCGCCACTGCCCCCCACACCGCACCCTCCTCGTCTTTGCGTTCACTGAGCAGGGGCCACAGGTCGGCTCTGTTTCCAGTTTTGTTTATCTCCTTCTTTCTCTCGCTTCTTCCTCGTGGCCACAGCAAGCGACAACATCCTTGCACCCCGCAGAGCCCTTTCCCAAACAATCTGCGAACTTCGCAGTGGCAACCTTGCCGTTTCTGTCCCGAACACCCAACCCGCCGTCCTCCCGTTCAGCTCTACCATGGCCATCTGACTGAGGCCGGCCAACATCTCCTGGCGGCACTTCAAGGGGGGGGAGGGGGAGGACGCAAATACGAATAGTCACCGAATAGCATACGCCTTCAGGGGCTACAAGCGACTACTATGATGTCCATATCAGGCTTCCGCAGCCACGGCAAGAGTACTGCAAGCATCTGAACCGAGCAACTCGCTCACCGAGCTCTAGGGCTTCGACTCGCGCACTCGCACGCAGGCAGGCACGGTTCAGGATGTTTAGGGTTCAGTGGCCATTAGAGGTCCCAGCGATGTCGACTCACGCTTTTCTAGCAGCTACCAGTATCTGCAAACACGAAACGTCCAAGCTGGGCAGCAGAGAGGCTCTTGTCCATGTGACCTCCAAAACCATTCCAAAACTGTCGCCCCTACCTATAGTCTCCATGTTCGTTCCTTTTTTTTGGTTGACCAGTTTTATGGTTAGGATCCTATAATAGAGATTTGGGTTAACCAAAAAAAGGAACTATAATGGAGACTATAAGTAGATCATGGCACATCTGGCATCGATCGGCTTTGTCAGCTTCAACGGTTGATGGAGCTACCAGAGCTGTGGCCAAGCCAGCAGGTTTCGGCGCTCACACTCGGGCAAACCAGGCGAGGCATGTAGGTTCGGAGTCAAGTGTTTAGGGTTTAGGGAGCAGGACTTGACACTGCGCTTCTACGCAGGGGTGCTGCCCGCAGATATTTAATTGCCTCTGAGCAGGGGCAAGGCTTCGCATACGGGCTGCATGATTGCGAAAAGTCCCGGCGTGAGCCGACCCTCGCCGATCATGCAATCTCTCATCTGAGAGTTTGATTTTACATGGGCAGGTGGAATCTCCGCCTGGGCGTCAAGAGCGAGCTCTGCAAGACGGCGCAAAATCAACAAAACCCTCCACCCTTTCCGGCGCGCCCGAACCATCCTCCTAGACGGCTCAATGTTGAAAGGAAAGACTGCGGAACTAGTGTGTTCTGCGACATGGAGACCGCCCAGCAATTGGCAGGGTCCCCATGAAGTGCTGACTCGTACACTCTCATGCCTGCGACAGGCTGCATGTAAGAATCCTCCAGCGTCGGATCATGCCTTTGAGGGCCTCGAAGTCACATGCTGCAGCCTCCGTGCACCGCGCTGGCATCTACGGGATCGTCAATCTTCAGCCTCACAAACGGCTTGATGGCTTCTTGCTGCTCTTCTCCAGCTCTCCAGCAGACACTTCGGATTAGCAAAACATGCGGCGACAAATGAATGCAGGAGTACAGCTACCTTGGACCTACACAGCTTGAGGCAAAACGAGCTGCAATCCACACCCTTTGCATTGGCTCCCAGAGGCCGCAGCTCCCGCCACAGAACCGTAAAGCAGTCAGTCACAAAGCAAACCTACCCAAGACCTTGTGCAGACCGAGGCCGATAGACTATGATGAGGCTGCCGATAAGCAGTGTCTATCAGATATCATCTAACCTCCCACCGCAGATAGCATTTGCAGCTCCAGGACTGCTATGGACAGATCTGGTCTGGAAATGATGCCACTTATGTGCACCGTAGCAAAGTGACGGCATGATGGACCGCACGTCACTCAGTCATCGAGCACCAATTAAAAGCCATCAGGAGGCTGTACGCCTGGCCTGATGAGGAGACTCAAAATCACGCCCATGGGCTCCAAACAAGCTAGATTACACGATGGGCTTCACTGCTTTACCTCACCTCTCACTCACAAGCACCCCTCTGACGCCGACTCTTCACTTGAAGATGATTTAGGGTCGTTGCCGCTGAACGCGT